AGTTCTTCTATGGCTTGCAATGGTCATCCCATTCCACCACGCATGTGCATGTCTCTCACGTTGCGGAAGGTTGTCGACCTACTTTCACTCAGGTGGTCGCCAAACGAAAGCGCGAAGAATTGATCGCTGATTTGAAAGGCCGTGGGCCAAGTCAACAGTCATGACTGATCCAATGATGTGCAATTTACAGTTACATACTGTAATATTGTCTGCAAATATGATTACTAATTACTATATATATAATTCTGCGCTATTAGGTTGGAGGCCATCGCTACTAGGTTGGAGGCCATTGCTATTAGGTTGGAGGCCACCGCCAATACATACATTAATTATAGTTACTCATCCTCATAGACTAACCTAGCTAGACTCCTACTATTGGCCAGAATGTCACCCGCAGAGCTGTCACCAGAGTCACCAGCGAGACTGCTCGCTGGGAGTTTCGCTGTCTAAGGAAAGGGCTTCAAGCCTCTCCAGCTGACTTTCTGCAGCAACATGCAGTCCGTTCGGTGTTTCCAATATAAGCTTGAATAAGGATGAAACGCCAGGGAGGTAGGCGGAGCTAGGCACCCTCGATGCACACCGAGCATGGATGAAAGCCAGGCCGTACCACCAAATTTTTGGACGAAGGCATGGGGAGGAGGCGTGCTCTTTGTTGCTCACTTTGGCTTTGTCAAGCCTCTGTGATTGGATGTGCATCAATACCTGCTCGTTTGGGGAACGGAAGAAGACTAGAAACAATATGAAACAGCATGCTTGCTTCTAGAAGAAATGGTGGTGCTCATATTTTGGACGCAGTTGAACAATCCCTTTTGTTTCCTCTGGGTCTCTTCTCAGGACGACGAGCCCAGTGCATCCTCGAAGGAGACTCAGGTGTCCGAGGGTACCGGAGCCGAGATATGTTTGAACAAGAAACAGGTTCGCAATGCGCGCTTCATGTCTGGTAGAGTCAAGAGTCTAATTATCACAAATCTAAAATAATCTTAAGTAATTTTTAGACCTTTTGGCTGGCAGATGGTGCAGTTTTCAAGCCTTAGTTGCCATGAGACCACACCTTTCTGAACTATGCCAGGCCAAAGAGCCGAAGAGCGGCTTTGACTATCTGCAACGTTCTCAAAGATCTCAGGGATTTCGCGAGAGAAGCGGACATCAGTGTCTGAAGAGTTCATAGCGTTTTTTTAAAGCATGTGATGGAACTTTGCCTAAGGCTGGGGATGCCCATTTGGTCTTTGACTTGGGAGCGCGTGGAAGATCTCAGGAGCGGGTGTCGAGGGTCTCGGGAGCTAGCTGATGCAAGCCCACGGAGTTCCTGTTTTCACAAGTAAGTTGTGCTTGGAATGATTTAATGACCATGCTTCTTAGAGAGGATTTCGGAGCTTTCAGGCGCACATGCTTTCAAGCAACCATATTATGCATCCGCAAAGACCACCCAATTGGTGACCCAAAATGCCACTCCCAAGAGGAGCAATTTTTGGAGGGATCCACAAGATGCGCGTGTTTGTGCAGAGTCATCGATGTGCAGTCGCTTCGATGCCCTTCGTGGCTGTAAAATGGACCTAGATCTACGACTTGGCATGGGAAGTTAGGATGGATTCAGATTCTAGCTCTGGTAGAAGTTCAATCCATGTTTGGTGTCTTAATTTTGATATTTTGTTTCTCTTCCCTTCCCAGGAAACAGCTCAAGGAGAAAACCGCCGAGCTCACCGACTTGCAGAACTCCACGCCCGAGGCGCCCGTCAGCTGTGCACCTGAAGAGGTGCTGAGATCCATTGAGTTCAAACGTTTTGGGGATCGCAGGCATAGCTTCAAGGAACTGCAGTGTTCAATCACGAATTCGCTCTCAAAGGAATTCGACTCTTATCACTGGGAAAGCATTTGCAATCCAGATCATTCCAATGCGGTGAATGAGCGGTTCCCAGATCCAGCAACCATGCATCTCATGACATCTTACGACAGCCCACATGATATTACTGGATTATAACTATATATTATATTAGGTAAAGCAAGAATACGAACTGCACATACTCATCTGCAAGACAATCCAAACAGCAAACAGCAGAAAGCAGAAGGGAATGGAAAATATACTTGAATGATACTCGAACGGAATCATTACTTCTATATAGCGATCACGTCTCTACAGCCGAAGCAGCTGCGCTTGATCTACCCATCAAAACGTCTCCACTCTCTACAGTCATGATGCTTTTAACCCACTGAATCCAACCTGTTGCGGTCGAACAAGATGCTCAGTTTGTCCTCGATCCGATTTCTCCAAGCCGAAGGCTCTTTGGGAAAAGGATCTTGATGTGGTCGTGGCTGAGCTCGACCGCATGGATGAAGAGGAGGAGCCTGTGCCCTTTCAAGCTTGCCTTCAAGTGCTCCGCACGTGTGTTGGGGTAGCAGCATGCGTTCAGCTTTTTTGCAAAACTTCAGCTGCACCAGGATGAAATGAAGAAAGAAGAAGGTCGATTAAGGAGGGCCTAAGAATCAGCGTTTGAGATGTAATTGGGATTTACATCGAATCATTCCACAAGCAGGAGTTTAATCACGCTTTTTGTCATTTGCAAAGGCAGCATTACATTTATGGAATGCAGACCGATCTGGAGAATCATTTGGAGGCAAGCATTTTTGCACATGTTTTGGGTCAGGTCTGGCAAGCGGACCAAATCGCGGGCCAAGCCGAAGGCCAAAGGCGCGAAGGCCGCCGGGACCACCCAAACGTTTGTGTCAGTTGCTTTCTAATGACCTGTGCTGTACCTACACCTATAAAAGCATCATAATCATAGCCCATGCTAGCCTCTATATTATATTGGTTTTCTCTTTTTACGTTCTCGTGGTCTGGGAAAGCCACAGCTGCGAAAGGGGACGGCCATTGCCAGCTGGTCCGTGCGGGTGACGGTCTCGAGCAGGAAGATGAACCCATGGAGCCGGACGAAGATGATGAGGACCTGAGAGACCGAGAGACCCCAGACCTGGGAGACAAACATACTTGGATGATTTCAGCTTGGATGATAGTCTGGTGCCTGACTTGGGGCAATTTGCTTCATCCTAAGGTTGTGGGTGTCCATACAGTCTACATGACGATGTGTACAGTATCCGGGTGTGCTTTTTGGTTGATACTGAATCTCAAGCATTCATTGTAGGTCACTAATGGTCACTAGTGCCTCAGCTTGGCAATTCTATTTGGTTCTCACACATGCTGAGCGGCATGGACACCAAGAAGTCTTTGGCCGTTCCGTTTGAGACAACCAAAAGCCGTTGGCAGCACGCTTCTTGGAGAAAGCCATATTGAGGTATATAATGAGTTTTCGGGTCTTTGAGTTCAGATCGCAGGATGGTGGATTTGCCAAGAGTTCTTGGGTGAACTTCAGTATACTTGACCTACAACATCCTACAGCTATAGCTACTCGTGGACATTATGGACCTACGAACGCTGGAAGTTCTAAGGAGCCCACGCCTGTCAAGAAGCCGAAGGGGGAAGAGACCAGTGGGGATCGCTTGGTCTGTGCGGAATGAGTGAGCCACGAAGACTCCGGAAGACAAGGCTTTCGTTTGGCAGTTTTGGGATACCGCTTTGAGATGCTTTGAGAAGGGAGGTGTATGAGATTGCATACAGTATATAAATCATTTGATGGGCAACGGAGTGTACTTGTTCTTCATTCATCAGGATCGTCGCCGTGAACTTGTATCCAAACCAAGTAGAATTGCTCGAAATTGGCTTGCGAGATGCAAAAGTTGACAATTACTTCCCGGTCCATCAAGATGTTGTTGCTTTCTCAAACTGGGTGACAGCAAGTCAGCCGAAGTTCCGAGGGGAAATAGGACCATGTTCTGCGAATCGCAGCACCTGCGTGTCGAAAACGAGGTGAAGCTTCCTTGAAATGGCATAGACTTCTGACATCTTATAACTCATGGGACGTTTTACACGGCCTACAAGCTGCATGGAGCTCAGGTGCTGAGCTTTTGGCACGTCTCAAGGACCCAGAAAGGATGCCATAAATTTTGAAATGATTTCTCTCGAAGATCGACTAAAGATATCGATCATATAGATTATATGAGGCGTCGAAGGATTTCAGGATCAGGATAATGATTCATTCATCATTAAGATTCATTGAGGCATTCATCGACGGTGAAGTTGAAGTTGAGAATTCTAGCAGAAGTTGTTGCAAGCAGAAGCTCACAAGACCTGATGAATCACATGAAATAGGCACCTTATATACTGTAGGCATTCGAGTCCCATGATGGTACCAGACGTCCAATCAGGAGCGACAAAAGCACCGGGCTTCGCTTCTGGGCAGCTGATTTGGGGCCAAAGGTAGCTGAGCATTCAGCGACGGTTGCATGGCTGTGGTGAGCTAGTTGCTTTTGTGAACATCAGCTAGCTAGCGAGAGTCTCCTCATTGCACCAAGAGATGACAATGTCCACTCCAGTTTGACTTGAAGAGCTCAGAGACCCTGATATCCGACTTGAAGTGATTTGTGGATACAGCGTTTGGAAGTTGGAACGCGTTGCTTTCTTCAATTCAAGCACGTGCAGCGTCCAACATGCTCAGCTGTGGATTGCCCTTGCACTGTACAGAGGGCAGAAGCAGAGGGGCAGGGGGGGAATGCTCAACATTGGGGAGATCGACTCGAATCTTCATTTGACGGATGAGGGTGTAGTCGATGCGACAGCATGCGGTAGTTGCTGTGAAAAAGAACGTGCTGGTGCAATGCCTCCAATATCCGCCGATATTTATCCTATATAGTATATATATATATCTATATATTGCCTATATCACTGTGGCTTCTCTTTTTTCCTTTTGTGATTGATACAATTGCAATGAGACTGAACTGTTTCAACCTGAACAAGGCATCAAAAACATCCACAAGGCATCATAGTGGGATGTTGATCATCCTTGTTTAAATGAGTCCCCCACGGCTTTCTGCTGTCAGCTTTACATGATTGAACAACATCGAACACATTGACATACGCAGCATCCACCCAGTCTGACTGGTGCTTCCAGGTACACCGACCAAGTTGACGTCTACCATGCTGGCAGCAAAGCTAGACGAATGGCACTCCAAATCCAGCAGGCTGCAGCGTTGGTGATATTTGATTCACCCTCTTCAACATGTTGGGTAAACGGGGGGGTTAGCCCCGGACGCAAAGCACCGAGGGTCAAAAAACCTTGTTTTTTACAGGTTAAAGTGGCTTTCCGGACACTCAACTTATCGTCTTGCAACTCATGAGTTGCAAGACGACAAGTTGAATGCATTTTGACGGACGTATTCACCGACCCGCCTGCTCCTTGTCCATGGCGCGAAAGTGATTTTCCACCTGCTAGGCATTAGTCTTGGTCCCAGTGGAGCCATTTCAGCTCAGTATACATGGCAGCTGGCGGACAAGTGTCTTGCACAGCTTCTCTATGTATCCAGACAGCCTCGAGCATTGCGTCCAACCCAGGATGTTGGCTGAACCACAACGCTGCGAGGCCTTCAACGTGCTGGCGTTGAGCTTCGCGTCGCAACGGCCAAGCAAACCCATTCTACGCAGTGATTTTTTCATCACTGCTGCCAAGCTTTCTGTACCTTGGTCTCCACCAACGACCGTAACTTTGCTCTGTTTCTCGAGCAGCATGGGTCCCAGACAAGCGGGTCGTCCAGCGAACGAATCGTGACCGAGCGAACCTACAAGGAACCGGGTGGACCAATGAAGTACGTAGACGATGTACGCGAGTCGTAACCAGGATGAAACTGACCCCACCCCCCCCCCCAACCCGAAAAAACCAGACCACATGTTACGGGCGGGGCTAACCCCCCCCGTTGACCCAACATGTTGCTCACATGTGCAACTTGCATCAAGCAATGTGCGAACCACTACTACCTTTGGATTAAAGTGGCATGAACATCGTGAGTATACAGCACGGTTTGAGAATTGGTTGCCATGTAGAATATTTCGACTGCTACCTTGTGAAACTCCAACTGTTTATTCTGCGTAAGCTGGGTAAGCTTGTCTCACAACATGTTCCTGAATTGGCAACATACCATTGAACCACCAGTCAGCCTGTAGGTGTGTGCCATTTTGGCTGGCCTTGTAGTTGCCAACAACTTTGACGTGGCACGGCGGCCGCTGATGGAACGCAGCTTCGGATGCTCGGCAAAAAAAGAACTCCCAAGGCTCCCAACAAAGGGCGGCAGTAAGACACTTGCAGTGAAAGGTCCTGGCATGTAGGCATGCCGCTTGTCATAAAGCCTCAGTACTTACTTGAGGCTGCTATCCTGATTAGGTTTTAGGTGTGGCATGCTTGGTGAGCACGGTTTATCAGTATCATACTGCATACTGTGTTGCATGTGCAAAGAAATGCTAGCAAGCCCCTCCTTCAGCTGACAACAACTACTTCTTCCGGATGGTCTTCGAGATCGGCAGAAGGCTGGGGCAGCTGGAGTGGATTGGCAGATCACGCACACAGCAGCAGACTTGTGTTGGATTGGCACAGCCAATCCTTGTTCACTGCAACTGGATGTTCAAAAGCAGAGCAGTTATGCTTCAGGACCAAGGCCCCACGAAGGAAAGAAGACATAAGGAGACAACTGTGACAGGTACAAGATCTTGAATCCAGACAAGCTACGAGGAAGTTACGGGAAGCCAATGGCTGAGAGTCTACATCTGTCTCATGTGTAATTCGGTGCAAAGTGACCGGCCATGATCACCGGAAGCTCCGGAGTCCATCATGACAGATGCCTGTTTGCAATATTTTGTCTCAAGATGTCTTAAGTCAAGTGGTGGAAGGTCAAGACTGCAGAACTGAGGCTCATCCACATGCTGCAGGACAGTGTGAAGGCTCGTCACCCTGATCTCTCTACTTGTAGACGTTGCACCAGTCAAAACCGCTGAATTTGCCTTGCCAAAATGACTCGGCTTCTGGCACAAGATCAAGGCAACCACCATTTGTCTAATGCCGAGAGCATCCGAGAGCCATTTTGTTGAAGACTTGAGGAAGAGGAGACCTACTGTAAGGTTTCCAAGGGAAGAAATAGTTACTGTATATTAGGATGTACAGAGTTTCGTTTGAAGTTATCCCATTGCCAGATGTCGACAAGATCTGCAGTTCACTTTCAAACCTTGCCAGTTGATTGGTGATTGTAACATATTGATCATATTGTAACCACACCCACATTGGGAATAGATTCGATCTCACAAATTGGACGCGTGCATTCTCGCTCGCATTCGTTTGCAGGGAGAAGTGGTCCGACAACTGGAGTTTGATTGTCCATACCTTGGACCAGATGGGCCGATTCAGGGTGTTGGGTGTTGGATGTTCGGCCATGTTCGGCCTTTGTCTTTGGCATTGGAACGGCGAAAGGACCCTCTTTAGGAATGCTGGATCAGCTGCCTCCAAGGCCACTTTTTTCACCCACAAGACTTGAAGGAGCCAATCCGTCTAGAGTTCTGATGAGTTCTTGACTGAAACCATCCGAAAGAATCTAATAGCATTATAGAGGACCCTATTACTAATCAGCGTCCGACATTAAAGCCAAGCAAAAAAGAGAGGGTGCCCTTGATTTCGTCGCTCGTTTTTGAAGTCCCTGACCCCTTCCGTCAGACGTTCGGCTCGCCGAAGCACCTGTTGAGCTCAGGTGTGGGTTCTGTGAAGACGGTGTGGACGGTGGTGAAAGGCAATGGCCGGGCGGTGCAAATGCTCCAGGTGCGACCCTCGGAGGTTCCTTCTGACTCAGGCGGCTGCGACCCTCAGAGGTTTTTCCGTGTGGTACTGACTCCCCAAGCGGTGAAACGAGCTTGGTCAGCGAATGCTAAGATTCTTAAGCGGTTTTCAAGTTTCAAGAGCTTAAAGGCTTAAATCCCAGGATCTGTTGTTGGTTGTTACATGTTGTTGCTGCTGGCGAAGCTTTGTGCTTAATCTGACAATTTTGCAAGGTATTTCCTGCTTTGGTTTTGGATCAAGCCAACCCTTTTGATCCCTTTTGTGTCTTGAGAAGTCTTCATACTGAGTCACATGGGTCCTCGATGTTTCGCCTTTTTTTTAATGTTTACCTCGGCGCCCGAGCAGCAGCTCGATGGGAGGATCCTTTGCTGACCATTGCCACCAAAGAGATCTACACCGATGGGAAGTCACGAGCTGAGGCGCTCACCCACCATGGTGAGGGGACACTGGTTCCACTTGGTTGGCAGTCTGTTCGCTAGGAAACATGTTTGATTCTTGCCGGGCCTGATTCCTGTGTGCAGTCCCAATGTTCCGTGCCAGTGTCAGTGCTTCCGCAGCGCTTTGTTGTTGCAAAAGCATTGCGTGGCACAGCTCAGAGTCTCCGCCTAAAACAAGTTTCGTTTCAAGGTAAACGGGGTCCAATTTGCTGGCCGCTGGCTGTATTCTTGGCTAAATGCAATGAGTCAGAGATTCAGCGTTTCGTTGGGATATTCATGCTAGACTCTTCATTCTGTCCTGCCCTCCTTTTTGGTCCCTGAATGAGAGGTTGCGCAAGAAAGCAAAGACAAAGCAGAAGCCTTGGTGGAGCTGAAGCACAAGCGACCCGGCAAGATAGGAAGGTGGAGATCACAAAGACAATGCCACACAATGCCTTAATAAAGATAACTTGATACTTGATAACCAAAGAAGCTCAAACACCCGAAGAGAAAGCTGAGATTTGGGAAGCTATGGGAAGCTTGTAAAGGAAGCAAATCCAGCAACTTCTGGAGAAGAAGGAAGGATGTCTTGGGGTTCCCAACATGTTTTTCTGTCTGAAACTGTCCTGTGAAGCAATTGAGTCCCAGACTCCAGGTATGCTGAGAAGCCTCCGGAAGGCACAGCTCCCCCAAAGGCACGGTGTTCTATCCCACAACGTCGTTTTCCACCACCTCCGTACAGTATAGTCCAGACGGTTGCTGCAGCAATAAATACACGTATGCATGTGCAACTTACCATTGTGGACCTCTCATCCTTTTCACCTGCTTGGCTTCGTCACTGTCCAGCCTGCGGGTGATCTAGCAGAAGCTCTTCGTGGTGGTCCGAAAAGGCAGGAGGAAATGGACCGGTGGAATGGCGGTGGACAGCGGGTGGACCTGTAGAAACTCCCCTTCAAGCTTTGTTCAGAGACCTGGTCTGGAGGATAGAGCCAAGCTGCCAAGCTGGTGCTATGCAAAAGATTGGTTGTTGGATGTTGTTGGTGCATTCAGAATCTTTTGTGCCGGCCACACTGACGAAAGTTCAGACGTGCACCAGGCCTGAGGTGGAGGGGCTCTTGACGGAGGACCGACCAATGGCACGGTCTCTACTGTAGGAGGCTGTGACGGCTGGTCAGCGCCCACCGATTGTTGGATTCGTTGGTGTTGTCGAAAGACGGTCACCAGGAGCGGATTGAAACCATCGTGGCCTCCATCAGCGACTATTTTGCCTTTTTGAGGCGAGCCATTGCTTCTAGGTTGGAGGCCGCTAGTTGGAGGCCATCGCTTCTAGGTTCTAGTAGGTTGGAGGCCATCGCCCTTAGGTCGCTATTAGGTTGGAGGCCATTGCTATTAGGTTGCGCCACCACGGCACCGGCGTCTTCTGCCCTTTCGAAGCCGGGGAAGAATCGGGAAGAATGGCCTTGTTTTGGGGCGCTGGTTTGGGCGGATTGGTGATGCTCGTGTTCTCAGAGATAGGTGAGTGAATGGACATGAACGGACTGACCAAGAAATGGGAGAGAGGCCCCAGTTGCAAACAATCTGGCCGCTGTGTGCAGATTATATATAAATATAACTATATATATATATATAAATATCTATAATATAGATAGATCTCCTTGCGCTCAAGTCTCAGACAGCAGTCAAGATGCATTTGTTTTTGGCCACTGACACTTGTTGATTTTGCAGAAGAAGAACCGACTTGGGGGTTCTGCAAGCATCGACCTTGGTCAGGTTCAACAGAGAGCCTGTGGAGAGGATGATTGAGTATCTCGTCCAAGACCAGATCAGGTTGGCTTAAGTTGGCTTTCACTTTTGATTGCCTTGCCAGCTAGAGGAGGCTTCTTGTACGCTTGCATCTCTGGACTGGGTGCCAGTCAGTTTGAACCAATTTGAGGATGACAGATACGATTTGCGACAGCAGAATACATCACAAGATGACCTCCACCCTCAAAGCGATGGCCTTCGTCCTAATAGCAATGGTCTCCAACCTAATACTGTAACGATGGCCTCCAACCCTGAGAGCGATGGCCTCCAAACCTACTAGCGATGGCCTCCAAACTACTAGCGATGGCCTCCAACCTAATAGCGACGGCGATGGCCTCCAACCTAAGTGCCCATTCAATGGCCAATTCTTTCATGAACGAATTCTCCAAATTTTCTCTACTCAAAGTCAGTGAGCCCTGCCCTACTGGCTATGATCAGTTTCAAGACACTTGACGCGGCTGCAGCATGGCTGAGGTTTCTCAGGCAATACTTCGACCCCAAGGAACCTGGTAAATGGAGCCCGACACCTGAGTTTAACCTGCAGTTTTAACGGTAGCAGGACAAAGATTTGATTCGTGTCCTGAGATCATTGCAAATTGCAAACGGTTGGTTTGATTCTCTTCTAAGAGCAGCTGCTTCAAGTGGGTTCTAGATGCATCCAGGCTAGGCTAGCGTGGCACTGAGGTTTGGACATCTCCAGAGGCCGTGGCGGCTCATGCTTGTCGCACACCCACAAGACCCAGTGCGCGAAGGGGACGGCGAACGAACCAGCGGTGGGCTTCGGTGGTAGATGACCCGGACCTTCGGACACTGTCATGTTTGTGTCCTCCTTTTACAGGGTCTACACCGTCTCATACCCCAATACTAACCTAGTAGTGACACGGGTCTACACCGTCTCAACATCGCCAGTTACTAACTGAAACGTGTGAGTAGCTCCCAGCGACCAGTGAACATCCTGCCGGGCGAGCTGGCTGAGCCTGGAAGCGCTGCGCTGCACAGTGATGTATGTCACATTGAGAGGCCACTGCAAGTAGTTCACAACACCTGAACTTATCTCGCTATGTCTCCCTGGTCAAGGTACACATTCGTGTTGCAGAGCCTACTCTTATGGCGGGAGATCATGGGCAACATGTGACTTGCTCAGAGGACCTTTTCTTGGCTGGTCCAGGTAGTACTCGATGTCGACACGAAGGAGTGTTTGCAGTGAGGAGATACTGATGGGTTGTCCAATGCCAATGCAAGCTGCACTACAGTAGATCGTTCATTCCAGCAGTGCTAGTACCGCATAGGTCATAGGTACAAGATGGTACAAGCATTGTAGAAAACCTCGGAGTAACGCCATTAGGACTACTGTAAACTGATGCTTACCTGTTTTTTTGTTGCTATGTTGTGTCCGGGTATCTTAATCTGCATTTGTATAATATAATAGAGTATAGGTATGATACAGTATGTGCGTATCTTGGTATTTGCCAGTGTAAGTATGCAGGTTTGCACATCCAAGGTTCTACTTGTGGCAGATGACAGAGGAGGACTTGCTCGACGCGGATTCCACGTGACCCACAAGAGCTGCCACTCCATGCTTTCCTTGTTTCCATATTCCTAATAGTAATAGCGATGGCCTCCACCCTAATAGCGATGACCTCCAACCTAGTAGCGATGGTGTTTACAAGGTTACCGTGGCCAACATTGCTGGACGCAATCATCATCTATGTGCAAGACACTTGACACATTGGTTGGGAAGCAGCAAACAAGTTGGTTCAGCTGCTCAGCTTATCAATGGGGTGGAAAAGCTAAGGTATGCCTCGCACTCTTTTGCAAGTGTCGTTTCGTCGCGAGTAGTGAAAGTGAAAGAACTTTTGAGACACTGGCCGCCCTTGCTGCTTCTAGCTTCTACACCCATCATGCGGAGTCGCGCTGCACATGGTCATCCATCCTCCGCGTTGGCCAGGTATCGACTCTGTGACACGGGGCAGGGGCTTAATCGAGTCCAGCCGGGGTAGCCCAATCTGGTGCAGGACGGCACTAGACAAAGAAGTTACAAATGCTCACAAATAAAGAAATGACGTTGTTTTGTTGTAGTTGTAGTTGTAGTTGTTGTTTGGAAAGTGGCTTTGATCAAAACACCTTGGGCATTGAAATTCCAAATCGTGGCCGTTCCTTGTGACAATCGAAGAAACACCTTAAGAAAGTCAGAGAAGCATTCCGATTCTGTAAAAAGACGCCTTGAGAGCATGGAATCTGAAGGAAATGGACGCAGTCCATCAATGGTCCAATGCAGGAACAAGGCTGCTTGACGAATCCGGCAAAGACCACATTCTCACAACTCGGGATTTTCATTCTGATCTTGAAGTGGCGACCTGTAGAGAGGACGTACTGGCCTGGCCCAAGCTGTCGAAGAGCGCGACTGTTGTGCTGCTTTTATTTTTGCACATTCTATGAGGCGTGGAAGTAAGAAGTACCCGCAGGGCCACTGGGGAGAGCGTTAACTCTGCAAAATATTTTTTGGTGGGCTTAATGATGTTTAATGCGTATATATATATATAAGTGTTTTTTTGGCAAACTTTTTGTTGTCGTTGGTTGCACTGACAACATTATCAACGACGTATAGATATGGGTTGGGTGGGGGGTTCATGACATTCGATTGCAAGTGCATCTAACATCAAGCTACATGCAAAACAACACACACACACAAACTTGAAGAAACTCGTCAAGAGCCGCTGAAATGAAACAACACACAAAGCACTGGAAATTACCACACAATAATTTGAAACATAGTGAACGCGCCGCGCTCCAGGCGCGCCTACCAAGTTTTTTGAATTTCGGCACACTCACACGGTAGCTCTTCAGGGTCAGTGAGGTTCAGCAATTGGATTTTGAGACAGCCTCATGTTATTTGATAACATTGTTGCTAAAGCGTTGAGACAAGGACAAACTTATCGAACCTGCGTCAAAAATAGTAAAGGCCGATGGGGAATCAGATACTTGTATGTGGTGGAACTCCTGTTCCGAAGGAAGGATGCATGAGATTCTCTCCCCATGTGCGTTGTGAGGGTTCTGTTTTTCCCAAAAGCATCTCCGATGCTTGGGTTCTCGTTTAGTCGCTAGTGCAGGGGGAGAGCGAGGAAAAGCTTACGTTGTCGGGGACGGAAGATGGAGGTGGAGGTGGACGGGGTTGGGAAGGGAAGAGGGAAGGGAAGGAAGAGGGAGGGGAAGGAAGGGAGGGGAAGGAAGGGAGGGGAAGGAAGGGAGGGGAGCGAGACGGGAGGCGGACGGGTGGGGACGGGGTTGGGGAGGGAACAGATGAAGGGGAGCGAGACGGGAGGGGCATGGGTGGGGACGAGAAGATGGAGGGGAGCGAGACGGGAGCGAGACGGGAGGGGCATGCCTTTTTTTTGACAGGAAAGGCAATATTTGGGATAGTTGATCCTCCAAAACAGGGGTCACTCAGGTTCCAGGTATATGATACATCCAAAAGCCAACCCGACGAAAGACGGAACTGCCACCCACCCAACGCCACACGTGGCCCAAACTGGGGATCCAGAGTCGGACGGAGCCCTAGAAGTACGCCAGGGGCTGGGGAGGGAAGATGGAGGGGAGCGAGACGGGAGGCGACGGGGCTGGGGATGGAAGATGGAGGTGCATGGGTGGAGGGGAGCGCGACGGAAGGCGCGTGGGTGGGACGGGAGGCGCGTGGGGTCGGGGCTGGGAGGGAAGATGGAGGGGAGCGAGACGGGGGGCGCATGAAGATGGAGGGGAGCGAGACGGGAGGCGCATGGGTGGGGAGGGAAGAAGGAAGGGAGTGGGAGGCGCACATGGGTGTGGACGGGGCTGGGGAGGGAAGATGGAGGGGAGTGAGACGGCGTGGCTTGGGTGTGGACGGGGCTGGGGAGTGCATGGGTGTGGACGCTTGCGCGGCTGATATGCTAGTTACGAGGACATGGTTGCACCACAAGCATCATTGCAGGCTGCTCCGGGTCAGTGCACAAGTAGAACGAAGCATGGGTGGGGGTAGTGCTGCTGCATGCTTCGCGGAAGCACGTTGGGAGGTGAGTGGAGCTGCGGGGCTTATACGATGGTCTTGGGTGTCCCAAAAGTGCGCAATGCACGCGACAGACGGTCAAGTCGTGGCTGAAACGGCAGGATTGTTGCGTCGAGCACATGGTTGCACCACCAGCATCATTGCAGGCTGCTCCGGGTCAGTGCACAAGTAGAACGAAGCATGGGTGGGGGTAGTGCTGCTCCATGCTTCGCGGAAGCCCGTTGGGAGGTGAGTGGAGCTGTGTTGCACCAGAACCGCGATGCTTGAAATATCATAGTTGCCACGAAGCCTGGAGGGGGCTGATGCTTCGTTTTGGCCTGCTAATTTGTGTTTGTTTACTTTTCCTGGGTCGTGCGCTTCTTTTTGCTTTTGGGTCCGCGGGCTCACCTTGTTTGCAGATGAAGGGCCGTCCAAAAGCTCACTCTTTCCTGTTGCAGGAGGTTTTGTTGCACCAGTGGAAACCAGGCATGTTCGTGCTCTTTGTGTCACACCAGTGGCTCTCGAGAATGCATCCAGACCAGAAGGATACCAGTTGCCGGACCTCATAGATGGATCTTTGCACTTGGCTCTGGATGGCCAATGGGAGTTCTTCGCAGGCATTTGGTTTCAACGAAGATTCGACCGTTTGATCGACCAAGTCGAAGGCGGTTGCAATGGCATACAATGGCTACGTTGAGAGCATTCCAGGATACGTCGAGAGGTGCGATCTGTTCACCATCCTTCTTCAGAACTTTTCCACCTCGTGGCAGTCATGAGCTGAATGTTTGGCCACTTGATTGCGATGCAGTGTGGCAAAGCCAATGAACCATTGAGGAGGACAGGCTTGTGGTGTTGGGTCTTGTCCGAAAAACGGTTGGAATCCTATTTTCACCACGAGAGGGAGGCAGGCTTTTTGGCCTTTTTTCATCCTTTTCCCGCTATTTGACGGCTGGGAAAATCAAATTTTAGGTGGAGCCAAGCCAAGGCAGGGGATATAGCTGAGTTCGGCAGTTCCACTTCTCTGGTGGCATTGATGAGGCTACTCGTAAAAGCTGTTCTTTCAGAGGATGTCGGCATGATTCGAACCTTGGGACAAAGCATGGCAGACGTCACCTTCAGGTGCTGCAGGCTGGAGGAGATGTTCCAGCAGCCCGACTGTACTGCCCGCTCTGATCCAGCTGCAAGCTGATGTGAATGCAAGCTGCAGCTTTGGAATGAATGTGTCTCATTGGGTTCAATTGCCAGGCAAGTAAAGGTGCTGGCCACAGCGAAGGCAGATCTGGAAAGCATAAGCTTTTATCCGCAGGGTCCACTGGCAAACGTGTGTTTGCCTTTGCGAACACGGAATCGGTGGCCCAAATGATTGCTTGCAAGTGCGAGGTGAATCCACCTTCCGCATCTTTCTACCCCTTGCGCCACGTAGCAGCCATGTCGAAGCGCGAATCAGTCACGAAAGGAGTATAGACTGCATTACTCTGTTGGGAATGGAGCAGTCGGCTCCTTCTCCCAGAAGACCCTGCCTCAAGGCGTATATAGTCACCAAAAAGCGCAGCCATGCCCAGTGCCCAAGGGCGTAAAGCACTAGCTGGCAGCCGGCGAGGAAGTTTCTAAAGGTGTAGTCAAGGGCCCTTGACAGTTGGTTTCTTGTTTCGTTTTACTAGTTTGGTGATTGAAGCTGCTTCCAACCTGTCTGTATATACGCTACTGTACCACCACGTTGTGCACCTTCTGTGTTCTTGTGTGGTTGTGTTTTTTCCTGGAACGACCTTTTGTAGCGAGGAAACACTCACCCCAAGAATCACAGTTCTGTTGCTGCAAACATCCGCCGAAGTCATCGTCAAACGGCACCGCACAGCGGTCTAAGATCACCATCTAGAGATGCATGTTATGGTTCTTTTGTGGTTGCTTCGATAGCACGCACCGACGCACTTGGCTTCGAAAGCGGATGCAGGGCACTGACTTGATTCCTCCTTGACGTTTTGAATTGTTTTGATGATTGAGGCACCAGGGTTTGGAGCCACGATCTGATTTATATTTAGTGTTTTTCGGAACAACTTTGAACACATTTTAACCTTGACAAGTGCTGAGGCATGCACCGCGAGTGTCAAGGGCTATGCATCAGATCCTCCACAAGGTACTGCACTTATGAATGCAACACGGCATAGGCACCGGCTGGACCATCCATTTCGGGTGTCCCATGGATCCGGAGTGTAGAGATGAGTGTAGAGTAGCGTGAAGCGGTACTGCCGCCTGCCGCTGGCTTTTCCCAAACAAGCTTTTGAAGAAACCCGAGGATACAGACACAGCGAGAGCGAGAGAGAGAATCTCCCCGAACAACGTTTGACTCATGTTTGACCCAATGCGATCTACGACTCAATACACTACACAATGAACACAACCCAAACATACCCAAACAGTAAAGCAGCACCATAAGCCTTCGCCATATTGCTCGATCACCATCGATCACGCATGTATTTTGCTTGCCGTGCAAATGCAGGTGCAGAGCGAAGTGGGCAACTGGGTGGGTCTTAGCGTCGTCCACCTTGGGGACCGTTCGTGGAGGGGTGGCTGCACTGCAGTTGCAGAGTCATGAGGCGATGTACTTTTTGCTTGGCCAGTTTTAGAAAGAGTTCATGGATCAAAACATGTGCAATACTATGCAATAGAATTCAAGTTCCCCAGAGCCCACATACACATTTTATTCAACTCTATTTTTGCTTGAGTTGCCAGCTGCTTAGCCGAAATTCACTGCATGTAACTGTATCCTCTAGCAACACGTAAACTCAGTTAGGGTGGGTAGAGGATTGCTGGAACAGTGCAGCCTAGCAACTGCAGGACCGAGATGTCCCAAATGCCCTCGTGTTTATCGACAAGTGCGCAGCACAGGCCCATCCCTTGGTAGACCTGCAACTTTGTCCTCCTCTTGACAAAAGTCAGAAGACTTGCACACCGCTGCGGCAATAGGCCCCGGATTTGCATCCAGACACACCATGGAACCGGAAATTACAACAACACTCGCCTGATCGTTTCATTGCTGGTTTTACGTACTTGCATATATTGATTGCATTTTCCACGAGGGTTGTTATACACCCACACACCGTCAGGACAGGGGCCACTGGCCGACCAGGTACACACAAGTTCCTCGAATCCTCGGGCCACTGGTGCGAACACTTGACAAGTTGCCAGAGGCTGGGGTTGCCAGAGGCCATGGCTTGTGGCGCAGTTCTGGAACCTGGGCCACAAGGTCGCTCGAGAAACTATACACTTGAAGGATATCCTGACATGAAGGAATTCCAACGAGGGTAGTGAAGGTTTGAGCGTATGTCCTCGTCCAGTCAGGTGTATGCCTCCTCACCGGCCATCAAGAACTATATAGACAGCGAGTTCAGGGGCGTCGAGGCCACGTCGGTCGGTTCTGAAGACGTTTTGCTCAAACAAGCACATTGCCTTGCTTGTCCTCTTCTCGGTAAAAAGCAAGTGTTGCTCAAACGGAGAAGAACTGTAGCATTCTGGTGAACACATATTCATAAACATAAACGGTATATATAATGTATGATTACAATCAACTGATTGTAATGCAATTTCCCCTGTAGACTCCAGGTTGTACGGATGGCAATCATGCAGGACACGGAGGGTTCGGTGCTGCACTTAGGGTCTTGAAGACTAGGACTACCATGTGTTGCCATACCAAAATGCTGTTGATGACTAGGTCAATACTGAAGGTCCGTGAAGAGGGCTGACGGTCCAGGGATTCGGATCACCCCCCCCAGCTTTTGGAGAGCAACATAGGTCAGGTGGGCTGAAACGGCCCATGCGCGAGGACTTCTTCAAGCACGGCTTTGACGGCAGTGGTGACGACGGTGGCTCTTGCGTGGATGGTTGGCTTCTCAAGTGGATGGGTGAAGTGAAAAATGACAATGGTGTGGAACCAGGCTGTTTTACCATGCTTTTCCCTATTCTACGGGTCGTGGGAGCGGATCATCAAGTCGCACTCACTGCTCAGGCTGCTGTAGGGTTTCTTTCTGTTTCTTCCTACAAATAGACAGTATTTAAATGTGCATTGGCACAGCCATCAATTGTGCAACAGTGCAAGCATTTTGTCTCAGCTTATGTTTAAATGATTCTAAACAACTTAGCACCTCTTGTTATTGTTTTGGCTTTTAAAACCTCAACATAGGATCTATCTCTTAGGTTGGAGGCCATCGCTAGTAGGTTGGAGGCTATTGCTACACTGAAGATGTTCCAGAATTGCTGACAGCCTCAAGATCCTGGTGCTAGGATTCAGCTTTAGAAGCGGTAAAGGATGCCTAGGGCCTATGGCTTCAGCGAATGTAAGCTTGACATATGCCACTTCGCAACTGGAGGAGATGGCTTTGAGTGCAACATGCACATTGTGGGCAGAACAATGATCAAGACCATACCATCACCAAGACTGCATGCTGAGATACACCAGGAGCGCAACAGGAACAAGAAAATAAGAGCATAAGAGTCAGGTGAAGATGGAAAGATGTTCTGCTAAAGCGTGCTTTGCCTTTTACGCCATTCTAGATATTATAACATTAAATAGTAATATAATGTAATATATATATATGTATTTGTTTGATATGTGTCAATATTTGTTTGTTTGTTTGTTTGTTTGTTTTTTTGTTGTTATGCCACAAGCACACATGCGCACACACATTCTACGTAGCTTGCGAGACCTTCTACAAGACTTGCTAGATCTGCATTGGCTGCGGCCTCGTAGCGCTGCCATGTAGCTGCAGCTGCCATGGCCGAGGCCATTTCTTGGTTAACATAAGCATTCACTGCCACTGCCACCACAACAGCTGCTACAAGTGCCTAGTCCTACTTGGCGAAGCCCAGACATGTCATGAAGTTCAAATTGCAGACATCAATGGTTGACGCACATGAGCTTGGCTCCTCAAGCTGAAACTTCTTGCCATCAGAGATGATGTATCACCAGGACCAGGATGGTGGTAATAATGTTTGCAAAGCCCCACTGATACTTGGGCGTGAGTGGAGTGTCAGGAAGCTGTTTCAAGTTCAAGGATGTTCATGTCGCGTACTAGTATTTTGTATTATCTTGTATTCAATGGGCCATACGGTGTGTTTCTTGCCGATCATCTGCGAGGCAGCGGACCTCGAAGCGTTGGTGGCCTCCTCGAGATGTACCAAAGGAAAACTGCTGGATATCGGTGCCAGCCTTCAACAGAGCTTCGGCGGAAAGTCCTGATACAAAACCAGCAGATGCTTGTAGATGCTGTTTGTTGCAACTTATATAATCTGGCAATCCAGCCTTTTTTGTTTGGCAATTTTCAATATTGGATGATTGATCGGCAATCCTGCGTTGACCTCTGCCAAATTTAACACCGCAAGAGCTGCTCGTCTCTTCGAGGCAGATTGAAGAGCTTGAAGCTGTTGCCTCGAAAGCAAGAGAGGCCAATCTGGAGAATCCCGCCAAGCGAGCACGCACTGCAGGACTGAAGAGGTATTGCCATGTTTGACCCTGCAGCTCCCTATCCAAACCAAACAAGCGTTAGACCATTAGATTAGTCACAGTATTTGAGATGTTATGATGCCATGCGCAGCAGTGGTCGTTTGCAAGACCACAGCCCAATTTGCTCCTCTTGAGACTTATTTCATTTGATTTCATACGTTTGATCCAGACAAGCACAACGTCACACACTTTCACCTCAGAGAAATGTAGTGAAGTGAATCCTCAATGAAACTCTTTGTTTTCAACATAACAGTGAAGGAAAGAAATCGTTTGAATTCATTGGGATTTGCAGAGGCAACCCAGACGAGTTTGTCAGACCTTAGATTCAACTTCGCGTCAGCTTTGGGTCTTTTGGTTGCAGTTTTGCTTGCCCTCTCACCGGTCCTATTGAGAAGCATCAAAAACTCACTGCTCCGGTCCTAGGTTCGTTTTGTTTTGTGAGTGGCTGTCTGGTTGGGGCCTTTGAAGGAGCGGTGCCTCAGCCTCCACTCCAAGGCTGGACAAACCGACCAAGAACCCTGGTTGACCCATGCATGCTGCGAGAGATATGCAATGAACCAGCCTGGGAGGCCCGATACATACCGTAATTGGCAATTGGATGCATATCACAGAAGCCAACGCTTGTGATCAATGGAAAGACCTATACAAATGACTGGCGCTGCTCAGGGGATGCTGATGGCCTAACCCATGCACCCTGGCGAGTCCGACGTGGACCAATGAGCGCTGGTGGGTTTTCTTCAAGATGCTCATCTCTCTTCACAGATCACCAATATATGGTTGCTTTCTAGGCGATTTCTGTTCGAGGAACACTCTGGTGCTGGTAGATTAAAGAAGGCAGAGCTGGACACGCACGGTATTGCACATTTGTTTCTTCGGGGATGGAAAGGAGGCACCAGCGGAAGTGAGCCCGGTAGTGAGCCCTTGAAGAAGTAAGCATGGCCACGCGCCACGCCATGCGCTCTGCAACTTTCAGTTGGTGTTGGCTCAGCATTGGATGACAGTACCCTCTCCAAAAGCCTGGATATCGCTTTTTTGCTTTAATGGTTTGTTGTTCGGGGCTTGGGAGATTGTTTCAAAGAGGCCATCTATGATTTGTTTGCAAGATGCCGCATGCCTTGTACACCATTGTAGCTTCTGAGTATTCTGACAACAATGCATTGTTTGTCCATTTCAATGAAGCCCAGCGGATCGCATGACACCACGCAGCAGGGCGATTTGAGCCGTCATACAGCGACTGACCAGGTCCCCAAAGCGACGGCAGTGGGACCAAGGCTGGCGATCAGGATGGCAAAGTGGATGGGGCTCAACAGGACATCCCCCAAGTGGAGATCCAGGTCCTAAAGGCAAAGCCAATTGTTTGCTGATCTCTAAGAATCCTTGTGTTTTACGTACCCTCAAGTCGTCCCCGTTGCTACCGGCTATCTAAAATGAGTGTGATCAACCACGGAAAACCCCCTTTTTTTGACTCATTTAGTTTAAGGGTTACTGTATCTAAAATGGGTCTTAAGTAAAATGGTTGGCACTGTTGGCACCAACAGATTTGCAAACTTGTCAAATTTGCAATTTGTTTTAGATAACATTGTGAGAAAGTTGTTGGATTTTTTCACTTTTCAGATTAACTAATTTAGGTTTTGAATTTGAAGTGTATACGTTTCCACCATTTTTTTGGGTATGTGTTCAGGCCCTGCTTCAGCATAACTTGCAGGTGAATGGTTCAAGAGCATTGCCATGATCAATGCTTTCCATCTCAATATATCTCAATGTTTGTTTTTGAGACTGGACGGCATCCTATCAATCAGAAGACCTGCGTTGCCACTCTCTCTAAGATCTCTGGTTCCCACTGATCAGCTCAGCGTAGAGCTCCACTGAGTTACACGCAGAGCTTGCCAATCAATAATACTCTTGAATCTTTTCACCGATCTTTCAAGCAATGGTTCGGAAGCAGCTGAAGAAGCCGCCGGCTCAGTGGCACGGTGGCTGGGCATGCCAGTGGGTGGAGAACCCAAAGAAGGAGAACATTTGCCATTTCTTATCGATGGACTTCCTAGGACCTTGCTGACGCTGAAGCATTGAAGACATCTCGAGCAGCTGAGCAGAGTCTAAGGACTGCTCTTTTCTTTTGCTCTTGCTCGTGATTGGGAATTGCAGAGCCCTATTCCTTCAAGCTTCATGCAGAGCCGTAGGAAGAAGACATGGACGACGTGGTGGCTCACATGACGCCACCGGAGCTGGCTGCGCTGCAGCTGAGTGAATCGGGTCTTGCTGGCGTCCGCTGATGGTGAGGGAGAGCCCGCATCGGTGGATCTCACGAGCCGCAAGGCCAAGAGCATTGTGTATGTTGTAGATGCTGCAACGCAGACGGATTGATAGTTTGTTTTCTCACGACTGTCCGCTGTCCATGGGGTTGGCCAGTAGATTTAGGGGCTAGGCTGCCAGGCTAAAAGTTGTCAAGAAATTCTTTTGCAAGTGCGAAGACTGCATTAATGCCAGGAGTGCTGCAGCCAAAAAGATTAAGAGTGACTGTGACTAAGACATACTGAGGCGGTTGGGCGGCGGTGAGGGACATGGAACACGCAACCCATGAACAGAGCGACTGTGAACTGGGTAGGCGCAAGTCTTCGAAGAGAGCGTGAGATTACGTCCAGAGGTTGAGTGCAACGCCGCTTCGTGGGTGAGGACTAGTTTTGGTTGGCGCATGTAACAAACATGGTGGCAGCTGCCGCGATTCTTCCAGTCGAGCCGAGACATGTTTTGACATCTTCTTCTAAGGACTAAGATACTAAGACCCCTTCTTTTCAATCGCATGCCCTCCACATGAACAGGAGAGCCCCGAACCAGATTTACCGAAAGGTGCGTGAACCAGAAGACAGGCCACAAGCCTACTAAGCAGATTCACCATGGCCGATCAGATGACCCGAGGGCTTTTTGTGAAAAGGCAAAGCAAAGGCCCCCACTTCCTGACGACTGCCAGGGCCTTTGCGACTGTCATCAGATTGCTGCGGTTTGGCGGCAGTTTCGCAAGCATTGTGCGATTGGGGGGTACAGTGGCAACACAGCATTGTCACAGAGCAATGCCGCGAGAAGTAGCTCGTCCTTGAAGCGCTCTTTCAGGCAATGATCCGTCGGATGTGAAGGAGCGTTTTGGAAGGAGTCCGATCTGCAGTGACATCCACGAAGTGAAGGTGGAGACCCGTGTCAGCCATAATATTCCAAATCGGGTCACTTGCTCCTTGAAGCTGCTGAAATCCTGCGCCGGGATCAGCCTCGATGCTTTGTCTTAGAGAATGTGCCAGACCTGTGCTTAGACCCTAAATTTCAAGAGATTTGGGAAGGCTTCTTGGCAGTTTTGAAAGCAGGCGGTTTTGATCTGAGTTTGCGGTTGCTTCAGTCAGAAGAGAATGGTGTGCCACAGGGCCGATGCCGTTTGTACTTGATCCGGGCTCGCTCAGATCAGCCGAGGCCAGGTGCTTATCCTTTTCTATTTTCCAGGCGTCTCTGGCATTTCAGACCTTTGGCGCACTCGCGTTATTCATTTAGTTTGCACTCACAAGCCCATCTCCTTGCGGCTAGGCGAAAGGAACTTGATTGGCTTTAATTGGCCACACCCACTGGCGCCTGTCTCCGCCCGACGTGTTCTCAAGATGCACATCAAGGGCCCTGGCGAAAAGGGCGACCTGCCCCGTACCTCGACCTTCAAGAAGAATTGGAAGCTGGTGCCTCCAAGATGTTTCATTGTCCAAGTGAGAGATATAAAGATGTTACTATGTTTCATTCTTTGCGAGGGAGAGATACCCATGAAAGGTTTCAACGAGTTGAGGTGCCAAATAAATGCCGCCATGCCATAAACCAACTCAGTTGGCTGCAGGCGCAGCAGAAAGCCAAGACGAAGGGGTGGGATCTTCGCGCTGTTGCGTCGCTTCATTCTTGTGGCTGATATGGCTGGAGGGATGGTCGATGTGGGGGTGGACCGTTCTCTAACCATCACAGCTTCAACGGGGCAGAATGCAGAAGCATACTTCTTGCCACATTGGCATCGGATTGCTGACGCTGAAGAGTTGTCCCACGCGCAGGGGTTGATAATCGGTTCTTCGATGGTGCGCAAGTGGTTCCATTAAAGAAAGTCGGGCATTCAGTTGGCAATGCTATGACCGGTGGTAGAGAGGGTTTTGTGTCGGCTGGGCCCTGTTTTGTGTGAAACCTTTACAGTAAAACTCCGTGCGCTGAGCTCCGTGCGTGTTGGTTTTGTCACTCGCCGGCTGCTGTTTGCGCTCCACATGGCTGACCGCAAGTTGAAGGACCGGTGGGAAGAGGCATGTTCCAAATTGCAGGCCGATCCCAATAAATTGCAGTTTTTGGGGGCGCCGTGGCGGCTGCTTCCAAGTGGAACTGAAAGAGATTTGCAAAGAGTCTCAGTCATGCACATAAGAGTGGGTGCAATGCTTAGCAGTGTCATGAGCACAGGCGCTCTCATAGAAAAGGTTGGAGGCCAGCTGCCACACTTGGACGTTAGCCCTCAAGTCAAGTGGGGATGGTGAGCGGGCACTCGTGGCTATGGCCAAGCCTTCCCAACCCAGAAGGTATTTGTTCACATAGACAGACGGCGAAAAACTGCAAGGCCCCTGAGCCACTGCCATTAACGTTTTTTGCAACAGTATTGACGTCCCAACGGCCCTGTGTAGACTATCCCTCATAGTTATCCGATGCAGTTTCATTCACTGCCACAGCACAGACGCTCTCGATGCATGGTGGAGAAAAATACATTCTGCTCGCAAACTGCGGTTTTGAGACCTGAATAATGACATAGCAGTGATAACTGCAGAGTTTCTTAACGCAACACATGTGTCTCACATCTTGCAGTGTTTGGGGGGGAGAGCTGTGGGGAGGGGGGAGGGCGTTGCAACAAAAGCGCAAGCACGCTGAGCAGATGTTTACTTGTTGCGTTTGATTGCTTCTGAAAAGGCGGACGACGCAGGCAAGACGCGCGACGTTAAACTAAAGGTCTGGCTGCTGGCCCACTGCTTTGAAAATAGGGCTGCAATTTTCCCAACGCTTGGCGCCGCTTTTGAAAGAGCTCTTGTACCAAGCCTGCGCTGACCGAGTGATCGACTTCTCGCCAAGCATTGACTTGCTGTACGCAGCCAACGAACAACGTATCTACGTTTGTGCAGTTGTCAAGAATGCCACTGTGCAGAAGGTGATGACGCAGGAAAAGGCACTCCAGCAAGTGAGTCAGATGGAAGTGGATCGTAGGCTTTGTGCGTTGAAGCTATCACACCAGCTGCCAGTCATGTAGGACGCGTAGGCGTTATTGATTTGAGTCGAGTTGGCAGACATGAGGCGATCCCCACACAGGAGTCACAAAATGCGTGCCACGGGTTCAGATAAGGGAGTGGCAAGATGATAGTTCAATCCATCGCAGCATCTAGCAGCTAAGTCTTGCGCAGCAGCGTTCAATCAATTTCTTGCATTGTTCTCAGCACGGTGGCAAGTTCTTCGATTTGTTCGGCTTTTGTCGGCTGCCCAAGTCCAGCATTGAGGGGGGCAATGATTGCAGCAGCGGTTTCCTGCTGCGCTGTGGCGCGGCTGTGGCGCAGCTGTGGCGCGGCTGTGGCTGCGTGGGCTGTGGCGGAGCGCTGTGGTTGCGGCTGGAAATGCCGCTGCGGCTTGCAGCCTCTGCAGTGGTTTTGCTGCTGGGCCGACAACCAGACCGAGCGTCGACTGGGGTCGGTCGCACGTGGGTGGTGTCCTTAAGCAACTATTGGGCCACTGGTTGGGCATTTTCGTGAAACCTGTACGCAGGTCCGGGGGCTGTAAGAATTCACCATCCGTCAAACACAGCGCATTATTTAAACCATGCAGGGACCGGACTTCCAAGGTTTTCCGGTTTGCCAAGTCAAGCCAAGCCAGAATTGCTGGAGTTATGTGAGCAGGTTTTGGGAAATGTTTGCAGAGGATTTTACGAGAGAACAAAAAAACACCGAAACTTTTATACAAGAAAATATTTGCTAGTGACCCTCGGAGTGGGCAGTAGCCTCTCAGACAACAAGAGATCTCAGCGTCCGGCCGAGGACGCGGGCTGGAAGTGCCCGTGCGCAAGTTGTGCAGCGCTTGGAGAAAATGCGCGTCAAATGCAGTAAACCCCCCCGAACCCCCAAAAAGTGTTCCCTTTTTCTTGGCCGTCCACCGGAGGGCTAAGTTAACCGCCTTTGGTGTGTGAAGGTCATTTTATTTACACCGGGGTGAAAGTTGTTGGCGCAACTCAAAAAAAATAGCGGGAACAGCCGCGCCATGTAACTCCTTTTTCTCGCTATTTGGCCGTCATAGATGGCGCAACTGGTCTTTGGATTGCAGAAAATTAAAATTCTGCGGGGTGTCTGTGCGGATACTAGTTTTCCCTATTTCCCAAAAAGCGTTTGGGGCCTATAGATGGCCAAATGGCCAAGTTCTGTACATTTGGGCCGGTACCAATAGTGATTTCCTCATATTTCTTCTTGATTTCCTCTTGCCTCTTGAACTTATTCGTTTCCTTTTGATGTCCTTTTGCGGTGGGGCAATAGATGGAGCGGTCCCAATCTCCGCTATTTTCTGCAAAATAGCCTAGCGCACAAAATCATGCAGAATCTTCCTGTTTTTTTAGCCACGGGGCGCATAGATGGCGCAACACACCTGAATGCCCCTGATACCTAAACCTGGCGCAATTAAAAGAAATCACCTCATCTATTTTCACCCCGGAGTAACAACAAAATTCTGGATAAAGTGAGAGGGTGAACTTCTATAGTCGGTAGCAAGGGGGATCTCAAGTTTAAAACCAAAAGTTAAAGCACACAACGACAATCTACAAGGGAAACTCTCCAGATACTTTGAGTGGTAGATGCCAGAAAATTTGCACGTGTTCTCTTTTTCGTGGTCGCGTTGCCCCCTGTCAAGTCCCTCCGTGTTGACTTGGTTTACAGGCCTCTATGTAGTCCAAATCGCTTTGCGCAGGCCAGACGGTACTTTCAGTTCTCCATGTGCCTTGGTCTGAAGGTATTGGACAGTGGCCATCATGGCATGTGAGAGCCAACTGAAGAGGAGCACAAATACCATTTGGGTTCTTTTGGTTCTGCAGAGTTGCCTTTTAGGGCCTACTAGGGTTTACAGGCGGCTTCGGACAAAGATTTGGCTGGAAACAGGCTTATCCTGGAAGGGAACGAAAGAAGGAATTCAGCAGTGTGGAAATCAAGAGATTGAACAGATCCGATCTTTGCTGCAAAAAAAATCCCAAAAAATCCAGACATGTTTGTCCACATTAGATTTGGGCTGGCTCGGCAAGTCCATGAAACCCTACAATCTGGTTCAATCATTGCTAACGTGTCGGACAAAGATTGTTCTGGTTTTTGCAGCAACGGAAATGGAGTTCGCCAAGAAGCACAGTCGATTGTCCACAATTTTTGTTTGTAAGGCCAGTTTGGTGGCCCCATCGGGGCTGCAGATGGCTTTGATGGCGCAATGATGCTCCACAGGAAAATATTCAACTCAGATGGGTCTCAGATGGGTTCATGCGGACCAAGTGGAAGTGACTGGGGTATGGCTCAACTGCTCCCAATTTGACCTCCCACATCTTAACATATTGTTTTCAAGACCTTCAAGACCACCAGCAAACCACCAATATCATATCATCATATCGTTTGTTTCAGTTGTGTAAGTGGATGGGATCCTAAAATCAACAATCTTGCAGACTCGTCCTTTGACCACTCACACGTGTGGGTATTTCCTCGTAACTAGCTGATGATATTTGCTTAGCAGGAATCTTGGTACCTTTCTTCTTCGGTCTCTATTTCGGCAGAGGAGGAATTTGAGAATTTCAGTCAAGTGATGCTGTTGTAGAATCCATTATATTTTCAGACGTGATTTGGAGTTTTGTGTTCAGGAAGCCTTTGAAACCCATCGGCAGTTTTGATGATGATGACTGCAGCTGTGGCTGTGCTGGCGGATGTGGCGGATGCTCCAGCAACATCAGCAACTGCACAGGCTGTGGCTGTGCAAGCGGCTGTGGGACTGGCTGCGGAAGCTGCGGAAGTGGCTGCTGTGGTTGTGGACAGCCTTGTGGTGGCTGCAACGGCTGCTGCGGGGGCTGTTGCTGCGGAGGCTGCAGCGGCTGCGGTTGCAGCGGTGGCTGCAACTGCGGGGGATGTGGCAACGGCTGCTGCAGCTGCTGTGGCTGTGGAGGTTGTGGTGGATGTGGATGTGGCGGCCGTGGAGGTTGCAGCTGTGGTGGGGCCTGTGACAGTTGTGGAGGGGGATGTGGCGGCTGTAGCGGCTGCTGTCAAGGAACTGGAACGCTGATACCCGACAGCGTTGAATCTGAAAATCGTGGAAATGCCATGAACCCCATGATGATGGGAATGAATCCGATGGCAATGATGATGATGGGTGCTGCCATGATGGGCCAAGTGATGATGGGCTCTGCGGACAGCAACTCTGATAGCATGAAGATGTCCAAGGAGGATGACGAAGACACGCAGTCTTTTGGCTCATCTTTCAATGTGAACCACCCGAATTACCGACCTCCAGACATGGAGCAAATACCTGGCATCACTGATAAGCGCTTCGTTGGACGGATTAAATTCTGGTTCGAGAACAAGGGCTTTGGCTTCATAGAGAGCGAGGAGTTCACCAAAGCCTTTCGTGGTGACTCAGATGTTGCCTGGGCTGTATAAGGGCAGTTGTTTGAGTTGTCTTTCAACACTTAGTATCACTTATAACTTATAATCTGGTAAGATCACACTAGCATTCTCATTCGTAAAACACATATGATCCAGTACATGTTGCTTTAAGATTAGTTACCTATTTTGTTATTGCCACAGTTGTATATGTTAGTATTTCCAAACAGTGTGTTCATATAAAATTTGATGGTGTATTTCAGTATTTAATAACGCCACTATTGGATCTTTGCGGGCATTGCAATTTTTTCCTTTGGTTTCTCACCTCGTGAATGGCATATGGTCCGATGGTGGAATGTCCAGCATGAAGCCGAAGTGCCACAGATGTTCGAAGCTGTTCCTCAAAAGATGGTCGAGACCCGTGCAAGTCCTGTGCTTTCGGCTGCTCCAGGTTTTCCTACACCACTTTCAAAAGAGGCACTTCCAACGAGGGGATTTGGTGGAGTTCAGCGTCTTTACGAACTTCAGAGGGAAACCTCAAGGCCGATAGATCCGAGATTCACACCCGATGGATGTGACCCACTCGATGAACCACGGGAAACATGCCGAAACGATGACAGAACGTGGAAGAATGGAATATTTGTGGACTAGGCAGCTAGGAGGCGTGCACCGGAGCAGCCATGTTTGAATGTACTGTGAGACCCGCAAGTTAAGTTGGTGTGCTTATAATTCGTGAGATTTTGGTCCCGGTCCGGCGAATTTGATTTCAGATACATATGACATGGGGCTGATAAAGCAATGGATGTGTATTGTTTGCAAAGCTCCTCCCCAATGCCTTAGCAAACTCTGGTAGCGCATCCGATTCGAACAATGCATCCGGCATTCCTGCTGTCAACATTTACTCTACCATAGCAACAAATATCCCACAAGTCTCTGAGTGGCCATAAGAGGCTCGTGGAAATAGATTTGTTTCCTTGGAGACCACTGCCAGGTACAGAGCTGAGAAAGGTGAAGGGATGAGAATCTGAGCGTCTGAGCGATGTCACGACTCACGTGACTCACTCCGTCTGACGACTGTGATGTCGTCTGCGATGTCCGTCTGTGTCGTCCCAGCCAACGGTCCCATGGTCCCATTGGGCGAAGCGAACGGACGACCAGTGTTCTCACATGTTCTCACTGTTTGGTGATGACAGCCCAAGGCCCAAGGGAAGAGTGTCGACCATTGGCAGAAAACTTCGATTGTCGGATTGCGCAGTGGATCCCGATTTGCCAGAGTGAATTGCCTTGCAGATGTGATATGGCTAGTGAGTTTCACATGACACAGTTGGACGTTGGAAGAAGCCTCGCAGAAGCCGGCTTCGTAGGCTTGAGATATTCACTGGTTGTGCCGGTCATTGGATCCGTTCACATAGGCAGCTGATGAAAGCCACAACTTTGCGTGAAGAAGGATCGGTGGTGGGAAAAGAATATCGCGCATCGTTGGTAGGAACAGCTCCCATGTGTGTACATCTTCCAATTGCAAGAATCTCAACAGGATGGATGATGGATGTAGAGAAAAACTGGGACAGCTTGAGGCCGGCTCACTTCCTGCTGGAACTGGTGCTCAAAGATTGAGAAGAAAGCGTGCACTACTGAGTTTCTGAGAGTTTGACTTGAGCATGCACATTCTGCGAACATATGCGAACATGTGAGGTTGAGCCATGCAGCCTTTCATCTCTGAACCTGACTGAGGTACTTCCCATGCTTCCTCTTGACAGGCTTCACTGGATTTGATGGAGGCTTCTCCACTGGCCTAGGCTCATAGCATTTTCCAAAGCTGGCATGTCTGTGTACAGCTGAGGGCAGCGTCAGCAGTCAGTGAAGATGGAAAACGCCAAGTCTTGTGCCACCAATTGAATTGGCCCAAGAGTGGCAAGATAGTGTGAAATTCACAAAATCCATGCATTGCTGCAGCCTGCCATCACCAAAATCGAGGACAATTCGAGCACCAGACTGGCCGCAGAGGCAAAGCGTGACAAAAAGTGGGCTTGTGGTAGCAGTCTTTGGCAACCGGAAGCCTTTCGTTCCATGAAATGCAGATGTTTGACTGTCCCTCACCTTCACTTCTAAAACTTCAGAACTTACTGAGGGAACTTGAAAAGGAATTCTTGAGAGATACGTACAACCGGCAAAGCTATGTCCAGGAATAGACACTGTTGATGTTTTGTAGCGAGCTTCAACGTGATTCAACATGTTGCCAGCATTGGTCTTACATACATACATACATACATACATACATACATACATACATACATAC